AGATTGGTTAAATGGATTATGGAATACACATACAACGCAATGTTACATATGATGCCATAAAAGAAAATTGACGTGAAAAATGTCCACAGGGCCAGGGATATAGCTCAGTGGCACACGTGCCTGCCTGGCAAGTGCAAGGTCCTGAGTTCGATTCCTGGTACCAAAAAAAAAGACCAGAAGAAAATCCTATTTAAGGCTGGGGATATAGCTCAGTGGCACAAATGCTTGCCTTGCAAGCTTGGGGTCCCGAGTTCGATTCCTGGTACCAAAAAAAAAAAGGAAAAGAAAAAGAAAAATGTCCACAGTATACCATTAGATGAAAAGACAGGTTATAAAATGGGATATAGAATATGATCTCATTTTAGTCATATAAAATAACTAACACTTATTTAACTGTTAATATGAGCATATATATATATATAAGCAAAGCATTTAGCAAAGTGCTTTACATAAATTATTTTATGCAAATGATAATCCTGTACCGTGAATAGATACTTATCATCTTACAGACGAGGAAACCAACGCTAAGAGGGTAAGTCATTTGCCACAGTTCACTTAAGTGACAGAACTGAGATACACACCCAGATATGTTGGACCCCAGAACTCAAACTCTTAACAGTGGCACCATTATCAATTCCTACATTTGTATAGAAAAAAGGCAAAAGAAAAAAAGAGGGCCAGCAAGATGTGATTGGTTCTTGTTATTGTTCTTTCCATGAAGTGAGACTGTGAGTGACGTTTGCTCCCTTTATACTTTCCCTAATACTCTAAAAATTGTGTGATTTACATGGATTATTTTCATAATCAGGAAAAACAAAATCCATTTCCATTCTGAAAGAAGCCAACAAGCTATTGTCTGCAACATGTTCACAGCAAACTACTGGGAAATAACTTAATTATTACAGACTCTTGAATTCCCTACCAAACCCAGTTGTGCAGAATGAATAAATAATACGCTTGTACATATGTCTTTTCAGACATATACAGATATTATCATTATGTATACACATAGTGGTTTCAGTTTGTCATATATTTCTCAAATGAGATTAAAAATACAGCTATTATCATGTAGAGATCCATCCCATTTTAAACATTAAAATACTAAAGCAAAGATTGGGATCTGGTACCTTGAGCATCTACTGTACAATTTACTTTTTTTTGTTTCAGGGAAACAGGAGGAAACAGGGGGAAACACACAATTCGTACATGATTAAAAATTAACCCAAGAGGCTTGTTTCCTGGAAAAGGTAGTTTATCAGAATGAGAGAGTGTGGAGATGGAGTTGACCTAAGATATCCCCTTCTGGAAAGACAGAGTGTTAATTTCCCGGGATTGCCCAGGACAAGCCTCCGCCCTCACCCACAGGGTGACGGCAACACATCAGCAGGGCGGTGGGGCTGCAACACCTGAACACTAACATCTGCTCAAAGGCCAGGCTGCTTCCAGTCAGCAGGAAGACGTTGGTTAGGCGGGCACTCAGGAGAGTAAGGCAGGCAAAGTGTATGAACATTCTGTTTTGCCATACTGCCTTGAAGTACTCCCTTTCTTTCTCCTTCTTCCTTCTTGTCTTTTATAAAGTGTCCTTTGTCCTCTCCTACTGTATAGCTTATTGGCTCCCACTGAAGTCCCCAGGACATACTCGCCATAGGACTCTAGTCCTCTCGTTGCATGTTAGAAACCATTGGATCACAGACCTGAGACATCAGACCCTTGCTGAGCGCCCAGCACTGAGCACCCACGACTTTGCAGGCATGAAGGACACTTACCCTAACAAATAAGATATGGTCTCAGTCCCTTTAGATGCATATGATTTTCAGGTGGAAAAAGCAGAAAGCAGCACACACACACACACACACACAACCTGGTTTGCTTTAATAAGCATGAAGTTTTTTTAAAAAGGTAAGAGACAGATCTGAGAGATGAGCGAGGGCTTTGTTGCTTTGCCTCCCCGTCCTACTTCAGCCTGTACTTAGGATTCACCTAGGAACCAGGCTCCATACCCTGTCTCTGCTAGTGGAAGCTGGCATTGAAGCTCAGAATATTGGTCAAAGAAAAACAGTCTTTAATAATTCAAGGCATGTCAGAGGGAAGGGAAGAGAGATTGTACTATATTAAAAGCAAATTAGGGGGCTGGGGATTTAGCTCAGCGGCAAAGCGCCTGCCTGGCAAGCGCAAGGTCGTGAGTTCGGTTCCCGGTACCGAAGAAAAAAAAACCGAAAAAAAAAAAAAAGCAAATTAGGGTCTGCCAAAGAGATCATATCTGAATCCAATCCAAACTGAATCCAGCTGCCAATCTGCAGGAAATATGGAAGAACGTGCTGACATGTACTGTGATTAGCAATAAGCAAAATCCAGACTGTGGAAAATTCCACAGACCAAACGGTAGGATTGTTCAATAGCTAAATCTTAAGGAAAGGAAAAGAGGAACCTGTACATTAGAACAGACTTGAATGCTTCAAAAATTCCAAGGTCAAGAAAGGTAAGGAAAGGCCAAGAAACTGTCACAGATCAGAGGAGACTAAAGAAGACCTGCTGATTAAATGCAACACGGAATCTTGGTGGGATTCTGGAACAGAAAATGGACATAACAGCCAGGCGTGGTGGTGCACACCTGTAATCCCAGCACTCGGGAGGCTGAGGCAGGAGGATCATTATGAGTTTGAGACCAGCCTGGCCTACAAAGTGAGCTCAAAACCAGCCTGAACTGCGTCTCAAGACCCTGTCTCAAAAAGACCAAAAAATAAATAAGTAAATAAATAAATATATTTTTTTAAAAAAGAAAGAAAATGGACATAAGTGGAAAAACTGATGTAACCCAAATAAAATCTGAAATTTAGGTAACAGAAAATCACTAGTATTGGTTTCTTAGTTGTAATAAATATACCAGGGTTACATAAGATGTTAACATAAGTGGGAAACTGGGTGAAGGGAATAGGGAACTATCTGTACTATCTTTGCAATTCATAAATCTAAAATTATTCCAAGATAAATAGTTTTAAAAAAGGAAGAAAGCAACTAAAAGGCATATCAAATTTTTAAATGGATAATAAGGGAAATTACAGTTTGGTTAAAAAATAGAAGTTGGGTATAGTAGCACATGCCTGCAATCCCACCACTCTGGGAGGCTGAGGCAGGCGGATCACAAATTTGAGCCCAGACTTAGAAACTTAGTGAAATCCTGTCTCAAGATAGGAAAAATTTTGTAAAAGTCTAGATACATAGCTGAGTGCAAAGGCCCTGGGTTCAAGCCCCAGTATACAAAAGAATAACGAAGAGAGAGGGGGAGAGAGAGAGAGAGAGACAGAGAGAGAGGGAGAGAGAGAGAGAGAGAAAGAAAGAAAGAAAGAAAGAAAGAAAGAAAGAAAGAAAGAAAGAAAGAAAGAAAGAAAGAAAAAAAAAAGAAAGAAAGGAAGGAAGAAAGGAAGAAAGGAAAGAAGAAAGAGAAAGAGGAGGGTGGAAGGGGAAAGGAGAGGGGAGGGGAAGGAAGGGAAGGGAAGGGACAAAAAGATAAATCTAAATATTAGGATAATGGTTACTTTGGAAGGAAGAAAAGGGTTGTGACTGGAATGGGGCAGATGGAGAAGGTTCTAGGGTAGGTAGAAAAGTTCTTCTTCAGCTAGTAGTAGTCAGTTGTCTTATAAGTAGTCAGTAAGTCAGTAAGTCATCTTATACATACATGCCCCAAGTGTTTCTTTGTATATGGATTCTATTTTACAATGAGAGAGAGGAGGGAGGGAGAGGGAGAGAGAGACTTAAGAAACATAACAATGAGTGGAGAAATTTTTATGCCCATATTTTGTACTCTGGGCAACTACTTTAAAGATAACAACATGCAATATATTAACTATTGTTATTCTCCTATTATATTTTATGAAATTTTGTTTTTGCCGTTTTTCCACAAAATAAAATTTCAAAAAAGAAGCATTCCATCTGGCTGGACGTGGTGGTACTGTAATTGCAGCACTCTGGGGAGCTGAGAGCAGGGAAATCACAAGTTCCAGCCCAGCCTGGGCAACATAACAATTTAGCAAGACTCTGTCTCCAAATAAAATAGAAAATGAGCTGGAGATTTAGCTCAGTATGAAGACTGTAATTTCAGTCCCCTGGAAGGGGGATCCAAATATAATCAACTGACCTAGTTGGAATGAATTGAGTATTAGATATCGATAGGGAATTGTTAAATTTGTTAGGAATGATAACAGTGAAGTTATTATGGAAGGAAACACAGTATCTGTATTTCTGTAGATGCGTAGTGAAGAATTTAGGGATAAGACACATTTTAGAATTGCTATGAAGTACTCAAAAAAAGTGAGGAGATGGATGAAACAAGTATGGAAAAATGGTTTTTTTGGTTTTTTGGGTTTTTTTTTTTGTTGGGTTTTTGTCATCTTTTTGAGACAGGGTCTTGCCATGCAGTTCACTTGGTAGCCCAGGCTGGTCCCGAACTCCCAATGATCCTCCTGCCTCAGCCTCCCAAGTGCTAGGATTACAGATGTGCACCACAACAAGCAGCTGGAAAAATGTTAATAGCTTTTTTGTCTGGTTGGTTTTGATTTTTTTCTCCAGTGCTAAGGACTGAACAATAGTTGTTGAAGATGAACACAAAAATCTCATTCTTGAGGTTTGCATATGTTTGGAAATTTTTCTACTAACTATTACAGGAGTGGAGTAGCCCCAAACCAGGCTGCTTCAGAGCTACAGAGATCTAATGCTACATCATAGACTCATAACCCCACAGAACTCCCTGCCCACCAGCCATCTTCCTAAGCTCCCAATTGCTGAGTGGCCTGTGAGCAAGTTGTCCCTCTCATTCTCTATGTCGCTTGGACTGGATGATAGTCACTTTCCCCTTTCTCCATCCTGATGTCCTAATTGTCTCATGAAAGAAAGGCAAAGGGCAGATGGGCTGGGCCGGACCTGACGGCACAGTCCTCGCTGCTCTATAACCCGGCCCTGCAGTGGGTGGACTTGGGGGTGGGGCAATGAAGGGAATGGGCAGGCGCCAGCTCCTCACAGTCATATGCGTCCACTACCAAGTGAGCCTCCAGAAGCTGGTGGCGCCTTTCACTGGAACACTGCTCTGAGGTCTTTGCCTCCTTCGGGCTCCAGGGCACCATGCCTTATTCTAAGCAGCCTAATAACTGCCAGATTCTGAGCCTTTTGCAGTGGCCCTTGAGCTACCTTGCTATATGTGAGTACCAACCCAGGAGCACATAGTGAGAAGCCAAAGCAGAGGCCAGGGCCGGATGTGGGGTGACGTTAATGATCATGGGAAGTCTCATCTCTGGCATTTTGATGATGAGATGTGCTCAAGTATAAAGAAAAGGAGTTTCAAGTATGACGGGTGCCCTGCAGAAGAAAGAGGTAGAGCCCGGGGCAGAGCAAGGGCAGCAGTGTAGCAGAACAGGGTCCTGGAAGAGATGAGTAGATCCTCGCTATCTAGCCAGGGAGTGCTCACTTGTGGGGCAGAGGATTCGTTAGCGTTATAAACTTAGAGAAATCTGGCCTGGGTTTGCAGAGCAGAGTTCCGGCTCTGGAAGGAAAGCGGTAACACGGGGGAAGAAAGAGAGGCAGTGGAAGGAGCCGTGAACGGACAAGGGGACAAGAACAGTGGATGGGAAATGGCAGAGGGATGAAGAAGTCGGGTGGGCAGGGTGTAGGGAGAAATGGGCAGTATCAGGGCAAAGGAGGGTGGACTAGGAACTTAACGAGGCTTCTGGGATGATGGATAGGGAGTGAACCAGGAGACAAGAAAAAGATGGCAGCCAAATAGGGGAGGGGGAAGGAGGTAGCGTGAAGAGAGCAGGCGCAGTAGGCTGGTGGCCGGCAGAGGGCGGGGAGACAGGGGGGACAGGTAGGAGGAGAAGTGGGGCTTGCATACGGTAGCTGAGAGAAGAAAGTTTGGAAGGCTAAGTAGGCATATAAGGTGGACGGGCAGGACCCGGATTGTGCTGAAGGCCAGGGCAGTTTGGAGAGCTAGCTGGTAGTGAGACTGGACACGGCCGCGCTCTGCTGGAAGTACAGATTTGGTCTGACCTCATCTTTCATCAGTTTGGATCTTGCAGCCGTTGTTTATTTCTCTGCTGTTTACACCCTTGTGGCTGCTACCAGCACTTTACTTCGTCTGGTTGCTCTTGGACTGGAAGACTCCAGAGCAAGGTAAGGCTCGTGGGCCTAGAAAGAGACCACTCCACCTTAACCCGCACCCCTGCGCGTGAGTCCCGCTGGCCGGGCCACAGGGCTCCCCTCCGCATTCTCCGAGCCATGGGAGCTGGTCCGGCTGCGACCATCCTGGGCCTCCCTCCTCCCTCACCTCACTAACAGTTATGGTCCCTCTGAACTGATACGGAAGCTCTAGGTGAATGAGAGGGGTGGCGCGGCACCTGCTGACTCACCTTCCTCTGGCGCTTTTGTCTCAGGTGGCAGGCGTTCAGCCTGGGTAAGGAACTGGTATATCTGGACTCACATCAGGGACTATTTTCCCATAAAGGTAAGAGTCTCTTTCCTAATATGCCCCTCCTAGAGCCTAAAATGGTAGGCATTTATACCAAATGATTAGGATTGTCCATAAGGAAGATGAACATCTCAGAGACAGTCTCAGTCCAGGCTAGAGACCTTCAGGATCCTCTGAACTCTGCTAAGATACTTGGACACACTTGGCATGAGCTGTCAGACTCCACAGGCAGAGGGCAAGCAGAGTTCAGTGCAGTTTAACAACATGAATGGAAAGCCTCCTCTGCCTTACTTGTTTTGGCTACACAGAAGTGAAGAGGATGTGATTCTCTTCCGCCAAGGACTTCACCTCTAATGGGGAGGGTGGGCAGACAAGTATATAATGACGATTTGGTGCAAGGGCAGAAGTAGTTCAGGTGGTGGATATTAAGGCTATGGTGCTAGCTAAGCAGAGTTTTCAAGGTTCAATAAAAGTTAGCCACCAGTTTGTGGGCATTGGAAAGGAATTTGGAGAAGACAATACCAGGATGAGGTTGTAGAAATATACCACTCTGCTGACCTCTGGGCACTGCGGAGTAGACAAAAAACACTGCCCTGTTTTTCAGAGCAGAATTTCCTGGCCTTTGTCACATAGCAGCACTCAAAAAAAAAAAAAAAAAAGGTCACATGCATAAGACACACCGACACACATGACCAAGACTACCTGAAGCCACAGGCAAGCTGTAACTCGCTCAGGTCCTGCCTTGTTACCCCAGGGCTGAGGAAACTACCTCTTGGCCTCCTGAAACCTGGGCCTACTCCATTTTATTGGAAATTTCTATTTCAGAAAGCACTCCAACCCCGGAGGGATGTTCGCGTAGCTCATTTTGTCCCCTCTGGCCTTTCTCTCCGTGGCTGTAGCTCGTGAAGACCGAAGACCTGTCACCTGAGCGCAACTATATCATGGGGGTTCACCCCCACGGCCTCCTGACCTTTGGCGCCTTCTGCAACTTCTGCACTGAGGCTACAGGCTTCTCAAAGACCTTCCCAGGCATCACTCCTCACTTGGCCACCCTGTCTTGGTTCTTCAAGATCCCTTTTATTAGGGACTACCTCATGGCCAAAGGTGCGTCTGACCATACCGGGCCATCTGGCCCATTTCTCTCCTTGAAAAGTAGCTTTTTAAGTCCCCCATTATCACAGTATAGTGGTTCAAAGTATGTGCACTGGAGCAAACTGCTCCGGCTCTGCCACTTGCTGTGTGATTGATCTTAGGCCAATTAGCTAACCTGTACGGGCCTCAATTTCCTCATTTATAAAGTGATGCTGATGGTAATAGCCTGACCTCAGATGTGGCATGAGATGATATAAGTAAAGCATTCGACATTAACACCTGGCACAGACCGTGGGCTCAGTAAACAGTAGCTGTTGTTTCTAATGGAGAAAGAAAGTAGAACTGTAGTTGAAATTCAGAAAGTCGACCTGGTTATCCCACTGAAAACCTCCCTGCTGTAGTTTCCACTTAGTGCCTTCTGCAAAGTGTAGGTGATTGCCTCAAGTTGGAATGTGTGCTGTTTGCCCACGGCCTTCTTTTCTCATTCTTTAGCCCCAGCTAGCGGAACCTCTTTTCCTAGCACCCGTGGATGCAAAGAAGCCAGTGTGTTCCCGTCCTGCTATTTTCTCTTCTCCCGATCAGTTTGTTCCTCCCTTCTCCTTGATTCTCTCCAGGCGTGTGCTCTGTGAGCCAGCCAGCCATCAACTACCTGCTGAGCCATGGCACTGGCAACCTCGTGGGCATTGTAGTGGGAGGAGTGGGAGAGGCGCTGCAGAGTGTGCCCAATACCACCACCCTCATCCTCCGGAAGCGCAAGGGGTTTGTGCGCACCGCCCTCCAGCATGGGTAGGTAGCCCCGGGATGACGAGGAGGGGACCTTCTCAGAGCAGTGGGAGTCCTATTATATATAGGAATATGGAATATGCGGCCTGATTTAAAAGCCTGGCTCCATGGGCTGGGAGTGGAGCTCAGTATAAAGTGATGGCGAGGCATGCACATAGCCGAGTTCAATCTCTAGCACCATACACAATACACACAGAACAATAACAAAGAAAATAAATGAAATCCTGGCTCTGAGATGTACCATGCACTCTGGAACAGGTTACTTGAACATTCTGAGCCTTGATGTTTTCATCTTTGTAATGTCGCTACTGATCATTGTACCTATTCCAGGGAGTGACTGTGGGCTTTGAATAAATTTATCCATATAAAATACCCACCATGTGCCTGGCGCACTGTAAATAATCAATAAACCTTAGCCACTCTGACTTAGGGGTAAAGAGGAACCTGAGGCTAGAGCTATAGGGTGCCCTCTCAGGCCAGCATTCTAGCCCATGGGATGCAGGGACAATCATCTTGTTGCACACCACAGCGGAGGGGAGTCTTGTCGTCTAAGGACCTTGCCTGAGGGGCCTGCCCGTGAGTCTGGGGTATAAGGTAAGCAAGAGAGCTTTGACCTGGGAGGGAGGGGCTCTGTGCTCTGGTCCAGGTCCTCCCTGAATGCCTGAGTGGCCTTCTCCCTTCTGCTCCTGGGCTCCAGACCCCCCACTGTGTCCTCCACTGTGTTTGTTGTAAGGATCTAGTCAGGTAAGACAGTTGAAGTGCTGAGAGGTGGCTGTTAGCAACTGATAAGATCTGCATGAAGGAAACGTTGTTCTCTTTGCTCTTCCTCACTTAAGGAAACTAACTACCCTGATTCTCTACCGAGGGCACTATTCGGGGTAGGATCTCATGGTCTCTGGGTGGTAACTTTGCTCTGCTCTAATCCCATCACCCACGAACAGCCCCCTTGAGGGAGAGTCCTATTATATATGTAATCCTTACAAAGTTACCCTCATCGTCTCCGTGTTAACCATCAGAAACAGTCAGGTGTTTCCGTCCTTGACACGTCCCGGAAGTTTTTCATGCTGTGGGCCACTGGCGAGCTCTCTGGCAGAGTCCAACTCCTCTTCCCTCTCTGTACGCCCATTTCCACCCTTGTAATGGTGGCCCAGAGATGACACGCTCACTACCTTGGAAAATTTCAGGACAAGAGTCTCGAGATAGGGGAGTTCTGTTTAGGGCAAGAAGAAATACTGTAGGTCATTGGGATATCATCATAATCCGTAGATATGGGCCTGGCCATGAACAAGTGTTCTTCCAGAATAATTCCCATTCTAGCCTGTGCTGGAAAAATAAATTGGAGTGTTCCTACAGGGCTCATTTGGTCCCCACATTCACTTTCGGAGAAACCGAGGTGTTTGACCAGGTGCTATTCCACGAAAGCAGCAGGATGTACAAGTTCCAGGCCTTCTTCCGCCGAATCTTCGGTTTCTACTTCTGTGTCTTCTATGGACAAGGCTTTCACCAAGGCTCCCCTGGCATCTTGCCGTACAGCCGGCCTATTGTCACTGTGGGTAAGTGTTGCTCTCAACCCCTGAGGCCACCTCAGCTCTTTCTTCGCCTCCGTCTCAGCACTCTTTGCCCTGTCCCCGCGAAAGAAGAAGGCAGCGGACTTGGAGAAGCTGAGAGCCAGCCAGGCCTGCCAGAGGGTTGGGCAGAGGAAGAAGAGGAAGCTGAAAGAAGCAGAGATTGTAGCACTTTCACCCTTTTCTTTTCCCCTCTCTCTTGGCAGTCGGGGAGCCTCTGCTACTGCCCCAAATTGAAAAGCCAAGCCAGGAGATGGTGGACAAATACCACGCACTCTATATGGACGCCCTCAGCAAACTCTTTGAAAAGCATAAGACCCAATATGGCTGCTCAGACAGCCAGAAGCTGCTTTTCTTGTGACTGAAGAGACTGCATGTATGCCTGAGAGCACTGGAGCTCCTGCCTTGGTGAGGAGACTCACTTGCTGCTAACCCAAGAAAAGCCTGGAAAAGGAAGGGAGACTAGGGAGGCTGTGTGTGGTAGGAGGACATTAGGAGTTCCTTCCTGGCCACGGTGAAGCCTTCCAAGGAGTTGTCCCGGGGAGTGTCAGAGGGGGGCATTCCAGGACATCTCTCACCCCGTTCCCCGCTGGCTTTCCTCTTTGAGACTGACTCCCAGGATCCTGAAGGACTTAAATGACAGCCAAGCAGCCCCCATTCAACTTTTCAAAAATGTTAATACAAGTTTAAATTGATATATAATTTGTATATCACCCATCTAACTCATTCAAAGTGCAAAATTCAGTAGTGTTTAGTATATTCACAGGGCGGGGCAACTACCGCCACTATTTAGTTTTAGAATGTGTTTCAGCAGCCACAGCGAACCTCGTACACATTAGCAGTCACTGCTTGCTCCTCCAGGCTCTGGGAACCACTAATCTACTTTATGTCTCTATGGATTTACCTACTCTTGACATTTCATATAAATACATTAAGTAGTCTTTCATGATTGGCTTCTTTCTCTTAGCATGTTTTCAAGGTCCACCCATATTGTAGCATGTATCAGTGCTTCATCCCTTTTATGGCTGAATAATACTCCATTGTACATATATACCTCATTTTGTTTAACCATTCGCCAGTTGATGGGCATCAGGGTTGTTCCTACTTTTTAGCTGTCATGAATAGCGTACACAGTTTTGTGTTATGATCTGTTAGCCTCAGCTATAAAGGCTTACTTATGAGTGAACCACTGCCCACCATGCCTTTTGGATAGATAAAAGGTACCTAACTCAAGGTCACGTTTCAGTTGGTACAGGTACTTCACATAGGTCAAATTGTCCTTATAACGGTTCCTCGACCTCCTAATTTGAAAGTATTTACAACCACCCACTTGATCTCTGTGCTTTTAATCTTCTCTAAATTCCGTCTAAAGACTTTTCTAGAAGCCATATTCTGAGAATTTTTAAAAAGAGTAAATAAAAACATATATGTCCTTTCCATCACAAGGCAACCAACAAGAGATGCATTTACACAGCAAATGACCAGAAGTTCATAGACCATTCAAACTATTAGGTGATTTTTCTTTTTGGGTTTTTTTTTTTTCAAGACAGGGTCTACTATGTAGTGCAGGCCAGCTTTAAACTCACTTTGTAGCCCAGGCTGGCCTCAAACTCACGGTGATCCTCCTGCCTCAGCCTCCCACATGGTGGGATTACAAGCGTGCTCCTATTTTCCTTTAACTTTTAAATATTGGGCTTTGGTGGGGTCTCACCCTCTTCATTCACTTTATGCTTTCTCAAGTCTAAAATGTTTCCTTGGTGATTAATAGACTACTATATCCAGTTTATCAACCTCCAACAAACACCTCAGCTCCAACATGTCCAATACCAAGCAAACTCTTTCCCTCCTCCCTCCTCCCAAGTCCTATCAATTTATTAATATTAATCCAACCTGTCTCCCCTCTCCTTCCCCACTGTCACAACCTCACCAAAATTCCTAGCCTATTGTTCTGCCCTCTAGTAATGTTATTCTGATCACCCATCTGTAAGACTACTTCTAGAGCAAACTTAAATCTCACTAGTTACTCCCCTGCTTAAAATTGTTTGCTGCTCCTACTAGAATATCCTAAAATTTGATCTATGCGATACTAATGTTCCTTAGATGTTAGTGAATATTGCACAGGGAAAGAATGGTAAAATAAGTGTAGGAGATGTGGGGTTAAACAAAGATAGACAAATGTATTTGTTGAAGGATTTTTCATAGTCTTTTATGATTTCTTCAAGTCTTCACTGCATTAGCAGACACTGTGATACTGGGGATTGAACCCAAGGCCTTCACATTGAGCTACATCCCCAAACACCTCTTTTTTTAAAAAAACATTTTGTATTTTGAGGACCGGGGATATATCTCAGTGGCATAGTGCCTGCCTGGCAAGCGCAAGGTCCTCAGTTTGATTCTAGGTACTAAAAAAAACAAAACAAAACAAAATTTGTGTTTTGAGACAGGATCTCACGAAATTGGTAAGTTGCCCAGGCTGGGCTTGAACCCGCAATCTTTATGCCTCAGCATCCCAGAGTGCTGAGATTACAGACATGTGTTAAAACACCTGGCTGCATTTCTCAAAATTATCTGAAAATAGAACCCTTGTTTAAAATAACACCTATTAACACTTCACGGCGTACTTAGAGTTCCTCTAGCTGCAATCTTAGAAATGCTGGCCTGCGGGATAAAAGTCACCCTCCTCACAGCAAAGAGGGAAATCTCAGGAAGATGCTTGGCTTGGCTTGGGAGCTGTCAGAGCGGGAGACGCCTTTGTAAGAGAAGCCAGATTCATAGACTAAATGAAACTTTCATAGGGAGTGATCGGAAGGTAATGGAATAAAAGGAGAATTGGACTTGAATTATTCTTTCTTTGGGTTGTTTCTTCCAAGAAGAGGCAATGAGAGCAGAGTTTCCAGCACAGAGCGCACAGAGGAAAAAACATCTGTGCTTCACGGTCGCAGCTCCCCGGAACAGCGAAAGAACAGATGGACAGCAGTTTAAGACTTTGCTTTCTTATTAGCATCATCCGGGCACCCTCCTCAAAATTCCCTCTTCCCGTGTCTTTTCTCCTCATTCTCCCCCTCCCCCCACCATGCAATCTCCCTGTCTCCCTTCCCCTTCCTCCACTTCTCTCTGAATGGTTTTGAGATACCCTGATGCTTTAAGGATTTCCTCCATACTTGGATGCCATACTAACTTCACACATGATAATCAGTGAGGGAACCAATCAGTAGGACTTAATCATGGAATGTAAGCGCGAAGGAACTTTTCCAGTGTGTGGCCAGGATGGTGACCACTAGTGGACCAAATGGCCAGGGGTCTATCCGAAGTAATGATGGAGGCAGAAAGTGAGCAGAGCCAGGCATGGTGGCGCAGACCTGCAGTCCAAGCACTCAGGAGTTCGAGGTCAGCCTAGGATACACAGTGATTTCAAAGACAACCTGAACTACATAGTGAGACCCTATCTCAAAAAAACAAACAAAAAAAGTTAGCAGAACGCTTAAGTGATATCCAGAGGGTTCCCCCATAGAGGGGAGAGCTGTACTTGGTCATAGGTTTTTAGAGACAGGCTATGAAGGTGTTCAACACCTTCTCATACATGTATCAGTTGATCAGTCCATTGTGAACATCATCAAAGGTTCCTTATATTCTGACTCCTATTAATCTTTTCAGCATTACCTTCAATCAGTCCCCATCATATACTTTAGTACTACATTGGATAACATCATATTTTCTGAACATGTTCGCATCACATTGTTTCTACATGGTAAAGACTATTTGTCTTTTAAGCCCACATCAAATATCACCTTCTCAGTGATGCCTTCAGCAGGTAGAATGAGTGACCCTTTCCTTCATTCTTTCATACCCTCTTGTTGTCTCCACTATGGGTCTCACCATATTATACTACAGTATAATTATTTGCTTCCAGGCAACTGTCCTACTAGGTTGAGAGTTTCTTGAGAACAGAAGCTACCTCATATTTGTTGCAGCATTTCTAGTGTCTACAACAGGACCTAGCATATGACAGCCACTATATAGGTATATATATTTCCAGACAGCAAAGAAGTTTCATAGGATCTTTCATAGATGAAAAGCACTAGCAAGGTAGAAAAATCAGAATGTATGGGTCAAAATTATGCTAAACAGTGAAACTCCAATGAATTAAATTGGGTGGCAAAAACTGCATAAAAGAAAAGCTGATTGAAGTTTGGGGGAAATTTTAAATTTCTCATAAATACTTGAAAAGTGAAGATTTAAAACAGCTTCAATAATCTGCAAGCCAGCATCAGTACCCTGAGCTCCACGAGCTGAGGAACTCTGTGTGACCCCCCACTCTACCCCTACCCCTTAGCCCATTTGCTGACTACTTGTAGGTACTCAAGAAATAACTGTTGAACAAATGAATCCAAATGGTTTCTGATATGTGGGCAATTTCCAATTTTGCTAAAGCAAGTCATTCAGCAATGAATAAACTGAACTGTATCAAAATTGAAACTTGATTTTGTCACTCTTTATATATGCTAAAGCCCATTAGCCATGAAGGATGTATAAAGGAGAAATTTGAAATTTTCAGATACACCTTTACTGCACTTTATGGAGAGATGGCAATCAGAGGGCTTCAGGATGCACACCTGGAGTTACAGTCTCACACATCAAAGACCTGTTTTATCATTTCATTGGTGACCTCCACACTCTGCTATCAGAATATGACAAATCTAGTAGACAAAAAGTTGATTTTAAAAAGTGTGGCATTGGCCAAGGCAGTATTTGCCTGTGGTCCCAGCCACTTGGTAAGCTGGGGCAAAAGAGTTCCTTGCGCTCAGGAGTTTGACACCAGCATGGACAACATAGCAAAGCTGTGTGTCACACAAAGCAAGACAAAACACTAGGACAGAGGACAGCTGGGGGCATGGCTTAGTGATGGGACACTTGCCTGGCATGCACAAATCTCTGTGTCCCATCCCCGGCCCAGCCCTCACAAAATTATGGAGATCAGTAGTACAATAAATAAGTAGGCTACCACTGAATGGTAAAAAGCTTAGTGAACAGGACATGGAATTACAGTTTCTTTATAAATGTACACAAATCATTCACAACTACTATTTACGTATTTGAACATTTAAAAACACTCAGCAAATAAAAAGGCATAAATCCTATGTACTGTAGTCATGGGACACACTTCAGTAAACTGAGAAATAAATAATAAATATAGACTTAGTGTCTACAGCTAAGTGAGAATTAAAAATACTCTCCTGACACTTGACTCCAAAATTTAGAGAATATGGAATATGTCGGGAGAAATGCAGAAAATATAAGTATCCATGTAAAATGTCTGGAAAAACAAAAAGACCCTGGAGTGTCTCAAAAAGTCAGAAAGCAGGGGCTGGGGATTTAGCTCAGCGGCACAGCGCCTGCCTGGCAAGCGCAAGGTCGTGAGTTCGATTCCCGGTACTGGAAAAAAAGAAAAAAGAAAAAAGAAAGCAAAGAGGTGCTCAAACAATGTAAGGACAGGCCCGGTGTGGTGGAACAAGCCTGTAATCCCAGCACTCAGGAGACTGGGGCAGGAGGATCACCATGAGTTTGAGGCCAGCCTGGGCTACACAGTGAGTTCAAGACCAGCCTAGACTGCAGAGTAAAAATAAAACAATGAAAAGAAAGGACAGAAGTATGTCAAGTGGACAGAAGAGAATCTGAAAAGACTCCCAATGACCTAACCCAGAACCATGTGAGCAACAAGACAAATAGCATAATATTGTATTATAATCCAAATATATTGTTAATGTAGCTAATGATATATACTTTGAGTTATAATAATATAGTTACACTGTAATAATGAGCTTATAATATAAATAATATTTTATAAATACTAATCAGTACTACTACATTATATATAGCACATGAACCAATATTGATATAAACAGAGCATTGAGTATTTGAACAAATGGTAGGAAAGAGACAAATCTTTACAAAAGAAGTACTGTATAAATAATATATATGGACACCTCCCCCTCCAAGAGATGATACTTCATCCCCTGCCCCCCTCCAAGGACAGGCTAGACTTGGCAACTCAATTTCAAACAAAAAAATGTCAGAAGGGAAAAACAGTGACTTTGTATTCCTAAAATATCTCAAATTGAGGGATATTTTACAAAATACTTGGCCAGTACTCCTCAAAATCATCAAAGTCGTGAGAACGAGGACAGAGTGTGAAGCTGCCATGGAGTGCAGGCAGACCAAGGAAATGTGATGGCTAAATACACCGGATATCCAGAAGTGCATGAGGGGGCAGAGAAAAAACATTAGTAAGAAAACCGGTGCAGCCCTAATAAAATCTGGAGCTTAATTAATAGTAAATTAATGCCAATTTCTCAGCTTTGACAAATGTATTGTGGTCCTACAAGGTGTTACTATTAGAAGACATTGAGGAAAGGGTGTAAAGGACCTCTGTCATCATCTTTGCAACTTGCCTGCGGATAGAAAATGATTGCAAAATGCACAATTTATTTAAAAATGTATGAGTTGCTGTCAAATCAGTACAAAGAGGAGAACTTACCACTTTGAAATTTTTTATTAGTAAGAAGAGAAGAGGGGGATAAAGGGGTATTTCAGTGGTAGAGCGATTGCTAGTATGCACAGTTCCCAGGACAGCGGAAAAAAGTAGCTGTATCTCCATCTTAAAAGCTGAGGCCTGGCGTGGTGGTGGCACCCCTGTAGTCCTGGCCCTCAGGAGGCTGAGGGAGGAGGATGGCCAGGAGTTCAAGGCCGCCTGCACTACATAGTGAGACTCTGCCTCAAAACACAAAAAACAAGCAAACAAAAACACAAACAAAATGCTGAAAAGTGAAAGAAGAGCTTAACATATGTAAAATAAATAAATCTAATGTCTATCATAGATTTTATTGTTATTAATAATTTTATTTTTTATTTTAAAAAGAAAAGAACAAAATTAAAATAACAAAAATGCAGACAAACACTATAAAAATGATACAGAATTTCAAAACAAGATGACAGGAAATCAACAGTGGGTGTTGTATTACTTATTGTCATCTCCAAAGTAGTTACTCAGATAACCAGCTATAGGTATGCAAGATTGATCAAATAATTAAACATTAACTGTTCCTTTCAATAAGCCAATAGAAATGAGTAGTTCAATTATCTTAGGTATCTTGTGTGTGTGTGAGTGTGTATGTGTGTATATATATATATATATGTATATAGCAATAATTTTAGACTTACTGAAAAAATTGAAAAAGTAGTACAGAGAATTCCCATATACCCCACACCCAAGCTCCCCTATTGTTAACACCTTATATTAGTATGGTATACAGTTGTTATAATTTTTTATTAATACGTGTTTGCAGCATATAATATTTATATTCCTCGTGTGGAGTTGGTAGTGAGTATAACATTGTTTTCCCTCCCTCTCCCTCCCTTTCTTAATCCCTTCCCACTTGAGAAAGATTTATCTCCCTACTTCCTATTATTTTTTTACTTTTCTCTTTGTTTATAATTTGGTTGTATAATTTCTTTTATATGAGAAACCATGCAATATTTAAGCTCGTGTGTCTGATTTATTTCACTTAACATTATGACCTCAAGGTGCATCCATTTTCCTACAAATTATTGAAGTTTAATTAAAGAATCAATATTCTTTTATTTTTCTGTCTTTTTCTGAGACAGGGTCTCACTATGCAGTTCAGGCTGGCCTTGAGCTCACTTTGTAGCCCAAGCTGGCCTCAAACTTGCCACGATCCTCCTGCCTCAGCCTCCAGAGTGCTGGGATTACAGGCACGTGCCACCACACCTGGCAAGAATCAATCTTGATACATTAGTATTAACCATACTTTATTCAGGTTTCCTCAGTTTTTACCTAAGTTCATTTTACTGCTCCATGAGCCCATTCAGGACACCACACTATATTAAGTATTATGTGTCTTTTGACTCCTCTAGTCTTCAACAGCTTCTCAGATTTTCCTTGTTTTGACCTTGACAGTTTTGAGGAGTGCTGATCAAGTACATTGTAGGAGGCCCCTTTCCTGGAATTTGTATGGTATTTTTATCATGGTTAGACTGGGGTTATGGGTTTTAGGGAGGAAGACCACAGAGACGATGAGTCATTTCCATCGCATCACTGCACAGTACCTAATACAGCATGATGTTTCGGTATCAATGGTGACCTTGGACGCTGGGTGAAAAAGTATTAGTCAAGTTTCTCCACTGGACAGTTACGCTTTTACCGCCCTTTTCTTACTGTACTCTGGGAGGAAGTCTCTGCACAGCTCCCATTAAGAAATGGGAAATTGTGGTTCCTTCCTTGAGGATGGAACATCTACATAAATTATTTGGAATTCTGCGCTGGACAGTCGCCTCCAGCAAATTTTAAAAACTTGGATGCAGCCTAGTTTGTCAATTATTTCGTATGATTATTGGGGATTTTTTTTGGATCTTGAGAAAACTTTGCCTGACCTATAGCGTTCTTTTTGCTTGTCGTTATTTTCAGATCCTTCTGTAAAAACAGTGCATTGCATTGTAATAATGAAAAGCAAGTTTTAAAACTCAAAAAAATAGAATTCATACATTTTCAGATGTGGGGTTTTACTCCATACATTTTAAAAAGTTTTACTCCTAATTTTTTTATGAGTGTCTGTTTGTGATACATAATAAGCACATTCATCTTGGGGAACTGGTACATATACATACTGCTTATTAATCTTTTAATTCACTCACTCCCGGATCCCCTCCCCAGCTCTACAAAGTCCAACCTACCTGTTTCCTATCATTTATCTTCTTTTTCGCTCTTTTAATTATTTATATTTTGGATTCCTCATACAAAAGAAACCATGCAGTATTTAGCTTTCTGCATTTAATTCATTTCACTTAGCATTATGACCTGAAAGTGCATCCATTTTCCTACAAATGACTCAAGTTTATCCTTCTTTATGGCTGATTAGTACTACATTGTGTATATACACTATATTTTCTTTATCCATTTATCTGTTGATGGGTCTATATGTCACTTCCAGGCCTGTTTGGCAATATCTCCACAAATCAAAAATTAAAAACCCAAATTTTGAAAAACAAATGTTTAAATACCCATTAAAGTTTGCTAAAACCATCTCTGACATACCAAAACTACCAATATGTGAAGAATCAGTACAAAAAATGGTTTAACTGTGGTACTGTTTATTTTGATGGAAAGTCTGGGCCACAATCAAGTCAAGGGAGAAAGAAGACCAGTAAGATTGGGTCATTTTTCATCTGTTATGTCTACCAGGTATCCAAGTCAGAAAATCCACTGGCAGTTGTAAATATGATTCTGGGAAGAGATAGAATCTGCAGAAAATACAGTAAAGACTTAAAAGTGGATTAGATCACCTGGGGGAGGGAGGAAGGGACGGAAGCACAGAGGTGGGTGTGGAAAGGGAGGGTGAGGGAGAGGGAAAGAGAAAGGACAGGTGAGGAGAAGGGAAGGAAAGGGAGAGAAAGGGAGGTGAAGGAGGAAAAGAAGGGAGGGAAGTAGGGAGGGAAGAGGATGGAGAGAAAAAAAGAATAGAAAGAAAGAAAGAAAGAAAGAAAGAAAGAAAGAAAGAAAGAAAGAAAGAAGAAAGAAAGAAAGAAAAAAAATTGCTTTTGAGTCTACTATTGACAGTTCAGTTTTCTGCTAGTTTTTCACTTGGTAGACTGGTCCTTATCTATTTAGGGGCCAGATTTTTGTCGATAATTTATGGCCCTGACAGCCTCAGGCATTCACTCATTCATTCACTTTGTTCAGTCATATTTGTTGATTACCTATAATGGGCCAGGCATTGTGGGAAACAGAAATAAGACAGACACCTACACTTTGTGCTCAAGAAGTTTTGCACTTTCCTTTTGCCGTGTCTCAGCTCTTCCTGGAAATAACAGCCCTAGAGATTATGTGAAGTAACCCAGTCAGTGGGTTATTCTAATATCTTTGGAAAGAAATGAGAGCATCTAGCATCTCAGAGTGAAAGAGGAGTATACACACATGTAGGCAGATCTTTATCACAAAAGTTCTTTGTTAATGGTCTTTAGTCAGTGCCGTTGGTTGACAACTTGTGTATGCATACATCCAAACTGGCAGGGAATCAAATATTTTTATTAACTATTTCTGAGTATCTTACCTTCCCTAAATCCTCTTAGGTATGTAACGCTTTTGTTTACTTTCATAATCTTTTTTTTCTTTCATTCAAATTATTTAGTTTTTGAAAAATAACTTAAAAATCCCTCATTTTGAAACTCTCTTCCTCCTTGATGCAAATGCCAGCATCCCAAACCATTTCTTCTCAACCCATCACTCAAGCCATCCTTCACTGATCGTGCTTAGCCTTCTGCTTCTCACAATCAAACGTTAATTTTTTGTCATGATCCAAATTCTCACTTCTAAGCAGAACCAGCTCCAAATCTAGAATTCTAGCTGTCAATCTAGCTACATTAAAGTTGCAAATTGATGCCCACAGGAACAATATGTGATGTTTCTTCATTCATTACTCCACTGACTTTTTGCCACAGCCCTGTCAGCTAGGTATTACCAACCCAACTTATCACTGAGGAAACCGAAGTGTAGAGAGATCAAGTAACTTGGCCTAATCAGCTGGGGATTATGGGATGAAGGAATAGAAGTGTGGGAAAACTGAAAATTCAAATGTGTCTGCTCTTTCCCACATCCAGGTTAGCCTGACAGGAAGACCAAGTTGTGAGTGGCCTCTAGTGGAGTATGAGAGGCTAGATATGCCTATTTTCCTTCAGAACATCTTTCCATTGCCCTTCCCAGCCCCTCTGTCACTAACAACCCTGAGGTCCTTCATTTCTTGGTGGCTCTTGTTGTGTTTTAAAGTGGGAATATACCCAGGAGAAGAAACAATAAACCACATTACTAACATATAATCATTATATATCAAAAACCATGTAATAAGCAAATAGGATGATACAGTAACAACCATTTATATTTACTTAGCTCTGTAGATTTTTCAGAGCCTCACTATAAGCTAAAGAAGTGCTTAAGGCTGAGATTATGATCTTCATTTTATAGATGATGAAACTGTGGCTCAGAGACTTTGAATGACTCATCCAAAGTGACACACTTGAGCTCCACTTTCAGGATCAGAGTTCATATTTAGGTCTTTGGATTTTCAGTCCTATGTTATTTCCTTTCTACCACAGTAACTCAAGGGGCTTATGGCTGAGAATTCAAGATGAAGAAGTAAATGGCAATTCAACATACATGAAGAAGTAAATAGCAAGTCAAGATAATAGTATAAGTAATGTTAAAAGGTATTAAAAGTGCCAAGCGACTGACAGGCAATAATTACAGCTGGAGTGACCAAGAAGGTCACTGTTGGCAAGCATCAGTGTACAGGGCCTCCAAGAGGAAGTGAGACTGAAATCTAGCCTCGGAAACTGGTAGAAAAAGGATAGCAGGAGACCAAAGGGAGAGCATTCCAGTGTTGGAGACAGAAAAAATAAAGTACAGAGATGAGAAATTGTAAGTCTTACTTGGAGAAAGAAAAAAGAGACTGGCTTAACTAGAGAAGAGATTTATATTTAGGAAGAATGGCAAATAAGATTGAAAAGGCCCTCTTGAATTCCTGACTAAAAGATTTTGACTTGTAGACAATAGAGAGCCATGCGTTTTGAGTAAGGGAGTGAAATTCTGAGAAGAGCATTGGGGCAGGTTGATCTGGCAATGTGCATTGTGTAGGATATATTTGTGTAAAAAGAGACAAGAGGTAAGGATCAGTTAGAAATCGATGAGAATCAGTCAGGGGAATGGTGATAAGAGCAAGTATTGAAATGGTAGCACTGGGACCATAAAAGAAGGCCAACTAGAACCAGCAAGCCAAACAACAACAACAAAACCAAACCAAACCAACCAAACAAACAAAAAAACAATGTCAGAACCTAGTGATACAGGGAGAAAAAAAGAGTAGAAGTTACCTGGGAGTTTTCAGGTCTAGGTGAGTTGAAGACGGAAGATACCATGAGCAGAAATGGGCCAAACTGGTAGGATAACTGGTTCAGAGAGCTGCATTTTTCATATCCTGAGTTAGAAATAGCAATGGCAGACATAAGTAAAACAGTCCAGGGGCATTGAAGACATAAAAGTGAAGCTTGGGAGAAAGGTCAGGCTTGGAAGTGAGTTGGCATGGGGAATGGAAGGAGCCATGGCAGTCAGAAGACCAAGGACCCAACCTCTCTTCTGGCCCTCATTTAGTATGTCATAGGTACGTCATCTCTCTGCGTCTGTTTCCTCACCCGGAATGTAAAGGACAGCTCAGGCCCCACATGATTTCTGAGGTATTCTCAAGGACCATGAGTCAACTAAAAATATTCACTTGCATATAGTTCTCTCCAAAAATGTCCATAATCTGATAGGGTAGTTATTAAATAATCCCCAAAGGCTGTTACTCTGGGACAGCTCTCAGGAATTCTATTCACTTAGGAAATAAAATTAAAGAAAGAAATGTCAACAAAGAAGACAGGAAGTCATCACAAAGAGGAAAGCTGAAGGAAAATGATTCTAAATCAAGAGGATAAAATGAAGAACTAAATTAAGGTATTATAATAAATGGGATAAATATTTAGATCAAATATAACAAAAGACTAACACATACATTAAAAAAATTCATTTAGTCATAAGAATACCACTAAAATGCCCACTGGCAAAGAACAAAAACAACGAATATAAGAAAAAGTGCGTTCAATCCCGTGAATAATCACGTACATGAAATGAACAAAGCAAACGGGCAGCAGACCAAGAGATGGAGGGAGAGGAGAAGAAGAGGAGGGAGGCAGACATGAGAAGAATGAAGATGTATTCTGTTCATGTGCCAACTCCCCATAATGAGTGCAGTCATTATGTACTGCAAACATGGGCTGATAAAAATTTTAAAAACTAAACTAAAAAAAATTTAGCCAAACAAATGAATATTTAACCACCCAAAAGTATTTCTTATAAAGCAAGGGAACTGAACCACTCATCTGTCATGACACTGAAAATCCACGCAGTCATTTCAAAAACCATGGTCCATTAAAGTGTTCATGCTCTTTAGTCTAATAATCCCACTCCTGGAAACTTATCTTAGAGGGAATTATAAAGGAAAAAAATCCATCACATTAACATGTTCAAGACACAGAAAACAAAATAGTCCAATAAAATGTAACCTACTGATAGAAGTAATTTTATGTGACCATTGAAATTATAAATGCAAAAGCCTGTATCAACAGGGAGACTATCTACAATAAAAAATGGTAAAGCAGAATTTAAAACGTACATATGCTATGAGTATGCTTCTATAAAATATCTGTATGCAAATGAACAAATCTTAGAACATGGAAAAATGAAAATCATTGTGTAAGTTTTAAAAGTGTATATTTCCTCTGAAAATTGCCTTTAATGTTGCCTAATGAGGTGCTTAAATGCTGTTTTTATTTTTTAAAAATTTCAAGGAGGCCATGCCATAGAATCAAGTGAAATAGGTAAAGAGAAATATAGAGAATAGCTCATTAGAGGTCTTGCTTAAGAGGTAATTTGTGCTCTGGTAAGTGCAGGCAAGTAAGAAGGAAATCAGGTTCAGAGGGTTAAGGAATGATTTTGGTTGAGGAATTGGGGTTTATAGTATTCTGTCCAGGAATTTGGTAATGAAATGAATAAAGATAAATAGAACAGTAGGTAAAAGAAATAGTAAGGTTAAGGTATAAGTGGTAATGCATTGTGTTTGTTGTTTTTAAGATCTATGAAATCAGTGAGGGAAGAGACTGACAATGATGAAGAAGGATAATAAAGGAACAAGAAAGAGGACCCACTCTTCTTCTGGGACTCCAGGGAAGAAAGACAAGGTAAATAAAGAAGCAGTGTTATTGTGAATGATGCAGAGAGAAGTAGGGGTCTTACATCCTCTCTGTTTTGCAAGAGGCAAGGTAACCTGCCTAAGTAATCACAAGGGTAGGATGGAGCTGGGGCCTGGGGAAGGAGAGAAATACATGCAACAGTCACTATGGACCATTTGCTAGAAATGCAGGAAGATAAGATAAAGTTGCAGGGAGTGAAATTTTGGTGGGTCAAACCAGCCTTTAGCATTGGCCCCAGGAGAAAGCTAATGTGTTTAACTAAAGCTGGAGTACGACAAGGAAGGCAGCCGCAGTAGCACACCAGGAAGTCCAGGCAGTTGCTCTCCATTAAGCAGAAGTGATGGAGGAGAGAGCAGGCCCACTGAGCTTGGATGGCAGGTAGAAGAGGTGAGGGGCTAAAGGGAGAGAATGCAGAGGAGGAGCAGTCTAGGCAGTAGCCACGAGCCTGGGAAACTGGTAAGCAGTGGGGAAGAAGGCCAGTTCATTCACTCGTAACGGACGGGACCCTGGATAAGGAGGGTCTCAGACATCCAGGGAGAAAGAAGGAGCTCTTTGAAGAACAGAAAAGGGGCACAGGGGTACTGAAGTGATTTTTCTGCTGCCCAGCCCCAAGCCAACTATCCAGACAGAGAGAGCTCTTAGAAGCCAGCAAGAATTTGGTATCACCAGACAAGTAAGGGATTGGAGACAGGTCGGCAAGCCTGGGGTGGAAGAAAGGCAAGACTTGGGTCTAACTCAGATCAACTGGCTAGACGACAATTTCAGAGGAAGTATAAGCCGACCCTTCCCATGAATGCTTGCGAAGAACTTCGCATTTCCCAAGGTTTAGGAGGCAGCTTCCTAAGTTCTATGTTCACACCCAATCCTATAAATCCATAAGCGCTAAGAGAGTGCTGGGGCAAAGACACAAGTGAATGGGTGGAAAATTCTGAAGGGACCATCCTAGACCCAGTGCCCTGCCCCGGCCTCCAAGTCCTAAAGTCTGATGTGAACAAGCTGGTGACACATTTATCGTTTATCTGGGGAAGGAGAGAGACAAGGGAAGAGTGAGTTCCGGACATCAATTCCTGACACCTTCACACGCTCTACACAAACCTGCTGTACCCCTGGGTGCAGCCCTGGCAGCCATCGACTCAGAAGTTCCTCCCTCTCAGTCTGAACCACCCACGCTTTCATTAAGTACAGGAGAGCTATCAAACATGTTCTCAGCAAACATCGGAAAGCAGGCCGAGTCTCATTCCTGTTCCAAAGTCTGTTGTCAGTTTGGGTCCTGCCCCTTCAGGCCCCTCAGGTCCCCACCCTCCTGGCTGCTCACCAGATCTGTAGGGCCACGCCTCCAGGGACTTGTGGAGCCCTGGCACACAGGCTTCCTGAGATTGCACCCTGTTTCAGCACCTAGGTAGGCAAGACTGTCCTGTCTTCAAGTGGGAACCAGGAAGTGGGCGTGGGTGCTATCCATGGCACATATGGCATGTATGATATGCAGCGCCCCTACTTCCTGCTTCTGGTTATCACCATCAGATAAATCAGGCCAATCCTACAATTATCGCACCCTCTCCACCCCTCCAGTTGAATGCTCTGGTCTGGCTGGAGCAATGCACGCCGTGGGAGGACATGGGGGAAATGGAGTGAGAAAAAGGACCGGAGAAGCCTTGCAGAATCCAGAAACAGGACTAAGGCCCCCCCCAGGAAAGGACAGAAACAAAGAGACAGAAATAGAGGCAGTGGAGTAACCACTACCGCCTTTATCTGCAAAAGGAGAGGGCAAACGAATCACTTCGCCAAGTGTCATTAAAGGGTTCCCTCACTCCTGCCCACACTCACTCCCTGTCCCCTCACTTTCCAGTTTCTGATGTTACGATCTACCTGCCCTACGGGCAGGGCAGCTACTGTTGCGGGAGGTGGATGCCCACCTGCAGCTGCCATCCTCAGGCAGGGACACCAGTGCCAGAGAGGAGGCAGCTATGCGGGGCTGGGCTGTGCCACCGCTGCAGAGGTGCTGGAACTGGCGTCGGTACTTGTTCCCAGTGAGAAGGTAGAGTACCGGATCCAGGCAGCTATTGGCACTGGCCAGCGGCCGAGTCACTTTGTAGGCCACGTTGACAATGTTCAGCATCTGACAGTCAGCCTCCAGTAGCCTTGCCAGGTAATAAATGGTGCGGGTGATGTGGAAAGGTACAAAGCAGACGGCAAAGACAGTGAGGACCACAGTGATGGTGCGGAGAGAACGGAGACGAGAAGATGACTGTGCAGCTCCTGGCAAGGGCCGATACAGGCGGTGGACCATGAGCCCGTAGCACACCAGAGTGACCAGACAGGGCAAGCCAAAGAGCAGCCCCATGACTGCTGAGCTGAAGTGCACGTAGTGGTCGAACTCCTCAGGCCGCGTGGTGTCGTGGCACAGAATGGTGGTCCCCCTGGTGCTGGTCGTGACAAAGAACAGGTTGGGCACGAGGCAGCCAGCAACCACCAACCAAACTCCTATGCAGAGAAGGGCCGCAAAGCGAGGGCGGCCCCAGCGTAGTGCCCTCAGCGGGTGGCAGATGCCCAGGTAGCGATGCACGCTGATGCAGGTGAGAAAGAGGACACTGCAGTAGAGGTTCCAATAGAAGAGAAAGCGGATGAACTTGCAGAACCCAGTGCCAAAGGGCCAGTGGTTGCGGGCGGCATAGTAGTAGACAAGGGTGGGCAGTGACAGCACGTACAAGGTGTCCGACAACGCCAAGTGGAACATGTAGGTGGCTGTTGCATCCCAGGGTCGGAGTCGGAAGAGGAAGAGCCAGAGTGTTGGGGCATTGAGGCCCAGGCCCAGCACAAAGACAACTGCGTAGCTCACAGGCAGCAGGATGAACTTGAACTCCTCATTAAACCAGCACTCCAGCTCCACTTCATCATCTCCAAAGCCAGGGCTGGGGCTGAGGGATGTGAACAGCGAGGGCTCTGTACTGGCCATGGCCTCCTAGAAAAAAGAAAGGGCAGAAATAAGAATGGCTGGATTTCCCTCAGACCTCCCCCACTGTACCTTCACCTCTGCTCCCGCCCTGGCCCCAGTTCCCTGTACTGTATTTGCCCCTGACACCTTCCCTCCACCTGGCTGTAGCCCAGGAGCTGTATCACCACCCTTGCCCAAGAACTCTGGCACATCTCCTACCTGATCCCCTTGAAGCTGAGCCCAGTTGACTCTGTCAGCCTTTCCCTTGGAAGCTAGAGGTCAAATTCAAGGGGGTGGGGCTTAGGGTGGGTCCTGTCCCATCCCTGGAGATCATCATAGCTAGAAAGGACCTTGGAGACTATCTAGGCCAACCCACTCAGCATACAGATTGGGAAACTGTAACCCAATAAGGTTATGATTTAACCACTTTGAAATGATTGTGGGAGGGAATACTGTACACAAGGAAACATCCAAGTTTACAGAAAAGCCAGGCCCCTGGAGATAAGTAAATTACAAGAAGATTATATTTAAAAAGAAGATTATATAAAACTGTGGAAGGGAACAGAAACATGGGAAATAAATTTTAACACGGGCCACCACAAGACAGCATATTGAAAGATTTTAGAGGGGCTGGGGATTTAGCTCAGCGGCACAGCGCCTGCCTGGCAAGCGCAAGGTCGTGAGTTCAATTCCCGGTACCGGAGAAAAACCAAAAAAAAAAAAAAGAAAGATTTTAGAAAATCTAAACTATAAGGGCTGATCGAAAATGTGGTAAAATATATTACAGCAAAGCACATTGCCTATAATTCCCCTCAAAATATTCCTCCTCACTTCAAACATACTTATTCCATTGTTCTTGCTGCTTTCACAAGAAGTTCTGGAAGTCCTCTTTTGTGAGTGAATTTATGAGGTGTGATTTAAAAGAATGCAGTGAATGCTGCTTCAGAGTCAATACAAAGCAAAAAGAAGCTCAAAAATCGTGATGTATCCTCATCCACCTCATTCACTGGAACTGGCGCTGGCTGACTTCTTCGCTTTTCCCCAAAGTGACAGTGATCATGAAAGGTAAATGTTTTCATTGCATTCAGGACAGGAAGGCAGCCATGACAGCACACCTAAAAACACTCAGGAGAGAGAACTTCTAGAACTGCTTCAAAAAGTGGCAAGGTTTGTGGAGATGGGAAGGGGCTCTAGGAATGGGGAGGGTGGGAGGGAAGAGAGGGAAAGGGGAAGTGAAAAGGATCAAGATTCTATATGCATGAAGATAGTTATACTACTGATTTCTCTCAGTTCACTGAAAACAAAGGTTTGTGCTCATATTATTTGGACAATTAAATGCCCATATCTTATGTTCTGAGTAATTAATTTAAAGATAACAATGCACAATGTATTAACCATTGTTACCCTCCTATTATCTTATTTTGAAATTTTTTTCTATTTAAAATAAAAAAGATTCTGTATGTATATGTATCACAAACACAGTAATAAAATTATCTTTAAAGTAGCAAGAACAAGTAGATAAGCATATTTGAAATATGGGGAAATATTTTGAGGGGGTTAACGGCAATGTGTTTTTTACTGTAATAATTTTTTTTAAAAAAATTAAATAGAACCCTATTTTGTGTCACACCTCATATATTTTAACTCCATATGCTTATAATTATAGCAAATGTTTATACAGCCTTTACTATGTGCTGAGTACTGTTCTAAGGATTTTATAGTTATTGATGACTCCACCGACTATCTATGAAGTAGGTTCTATTATTGTCCCTACTTTGTTGATGATAAAACTAAGGCCTGGGTAATGTATTTTGCTAATTAGTGATAGAATCAATTTTTGAAACCAGGTAAGCCTGCCTTTGGACCAGACTCTATGATCCATGACTTAACCAGCATGCTTAGTTGCCCCTCTAAGCAACTGGCCGTGATCCATAGAAGGATCAACAAATATTTACTGAGGGCATTTTGTGTGCCTAGTTTAGTTCTAAGCATCATGAGTGAACAAAACAAACACTACCTCCTAATCTAGTGGTGCTTACATACTGCTGGGGGGTAATAAAGCTAATGAGTAAAATATGCAGATTGTGATCACTGTTACAGGGAAAAATAAAGGGAAATAGGAAAAGACAAGAAGATAAAGGGAAATAGGGAAACACAAGAGAAAGAGAGAACTGCTGTTTCAAGTACTGGGGTGATCTGAATAAGGACAGAGTATTGTGAGGAAAGGGAAACAGAAGATGAAGTCGGAGAATTTGTCAGGGACCAGATCATGAAGGTCCTCTGAGGCCATTGGGAGGGTACTGGTTTTACCGAGTGAACGGAAGGCTTATACAAAAAGGCTAATAGGAAAAAGTATCGTGGTTAGAGTTCTACTGTAGAGGGCCCACTAGCCGACTATATGCTGAAAATAGACAGCAGGGCTGGAGGCACAGGAATGACCAGGCAAGAGGCTGTTGCCGATAGAGATGATGGCAACCTGGACGCAGTAGCAAAGGTGACAAAAAGTGGTTAAATTTTAGATAGATTCTGAAGGCGAGACAAGATTTACTGATGTGGGTGTGAGAAAGAGGAGTCAAAATGACTCAGAGGAAAAGATAGCCTCTTTTAAAATGGTGTTGGGAAAACTGGCTATTCACATGCAGGAGATTGAATCTAGAGCCGTATCTCTCACCATGTACTAAACTGAAATCAAAATCAAAGAACTAAATGTTAAACCAGGACACCTTAACCTGCTGGAAGACAAAATAGGTAAAACTTTTGAAGGCATGGGTATAGGCAAAGACTTTCTGAACAGAGCTCCAGTTGCATAAGAAATAGTGTCAAGAATCAAAAAATGGGATCAGAGGCAGGTGTGGTGGCACATCCCTATAATCCTTGCACTTGGGAGGCTGAGGCAGGAGGATCGCTGTGAGTTCAAGCCCAGCCTGGGCTACATAGTGAGGTTAAGGGCAGCCTAAGCTACATAGTGAAACCCTGACTCAAAAAAACAGAAATAAATAAAACGAGACAAAAAAACAAATGGGATCACATCAAGTTAGAAAGCATCTGCACAGCAAAACAAACATCCAATATAGTGAAAAGAAAACCTACAGAATTGGAAAACATTTTGTCAGCTATTCCTCAGACGGAGGGCTCACATCTAGACTACATAAAGAACTAAAAAAAAATCCCAACATAGAAAACCCAATCAAAAAATGGGCAAGCAAAAGGAATAGACACTTCACAGAAGAAGTACAAATGGCTGACAGATACATGAGGAAATGCTCAACTTTACTGGCCATGAGAGAAGTGCAAATAAAAATAACGTTGAAATTCCATATTATCCCAGAAAGAATAGCCATCATCAATAACTCAAATAATAAGAAATGCTGGAGAGGCTGCAAGAAAAAGTAACTCTTCTACACTGTTACAGGAATAGAAAATAGTACAACTACTATGAAAATAAATGTGGAGATTCCTCAAAAAACTGAAGCTAGAAATTCCATTTGACTCAGATATTCCCCTTCTAAGTATGTTTCTGAAAGTATTGAAGACATCCTATGACAGTGATACACGCATGCCCATGTTTATAGCACCATGACTCACAACAACTAAATCTTGAAAACAGGCCACATGCTCATCGACAGATGAATGGGTAAAGAAAATGTGGTGTTTACACACAGTGGAGCACTACTGTGCCATAAAGAAGGATGAACTTGAGTAATTTGTAGGAAAGTGGATGCACCTTGAGACCATAATGTGAAGTGAAATAAATCAGAGAAAAAAGTTAAATATCACACGGTTTCTCTTTATAAGTAATCCAGTGTAGAAATAAATAGCAAAATAAAAGACAGATAATAGGAAGTAGGGAAGTAGATCATTCTCAGAAAGGAAGGGAACCAGAAGATAGAAGCTAGGTAAGAGAGAGGAGAGATAAGGGATGGAATAAAAAGGAATTGAGATGTGTTATGTATATAGACCAACTCCACACAAAAATATAAACATTATATACTGCAAACATGTATTTTAAAAAGGAAGGGGATCAGCAAGTGGGTGGAGGGGAGGAAGGGAAAGGGATGAAAAAGGAATTAACATGCACTATGTACATGAACCAACAATCCACAAGGAATGTAAACATTATGTACTACACACATGTACTAATAAACTGAGATACAAAAAAATGTTTAAGGACTCTGAGATTTCTGACCAGAGCAATAGAAGAATGAACACACTGTTGACAGGTGTAGGGAAGGCTGAGAGAAGAGCAAGTTTGGAGAAAGATGAGGAGTTCATTTCAGCCCAGAAATGCTGAGAAAAGAAAACCTACAGAATTGGAAAAAATTTTGTCAGCTCTTCCTCAGACAGAGGACTCACATCTAGAATATATAAAGAACTAAAAAAAATCCCAGGATAGAAGACCCAATCAAAAACTGGGCAAGCATGGTGCTGAGCACCTGTAATTCCAGCACTCTGGGAGGCTGAGGGAGGAGGACTGCAAATTTGAGCTAGCCTGGTAACTTAGCATGACTTAGAGAGACGCTATCTCAAAAACAAAAATAACAAAAGAGCTAGGGATGTAGCTCAGTGTGTGAGGGCCCTGGGTTCAATTCCTAGTACCACAAAAAATGTTTTTCGGATGCCTATGGCACATGTAAGAGGAGATGGCCAGGGGGCAGTTCATGCCTTCTTACAGATGCTAGCCAATAAGCTTCCCTTAACAGACGCCACCTTTTCCTGCTCAGCACCTCATCTCTCCTGGTTGCTCCAGACACCCTGATCTGTGCACAATGGAAAAGGTACAGAGAATAAGTCCAGATTTTTGAGCGCCTAAAGCCAAGGCACGTCAAACTGTCAGCAGCTGTGGGTCTGTGACCCCTAGAGCTAGCTAAGGCATCAGTCAGCATGTTTGTCTCAGGCTCACGAGGTAAGTTGGGTCCAGAGGACTGTGAGCATGAAGTGGGCAGTGCTCTTGGGAAGGAGTGAGCAGGCTGCAGCAGAATCCATTGTGAGCGAAGCTGGGAAGTAATGAAGACTCTAAACCCGATCCTCGAGTCCTGAAAGTGTTGCCCAGATGTATCCTGGGAGTGAGAAGAGGAGGCAAGCCTGTAAAGAAAGCTCTAGAATCTGGACCCCAGATCTATGGGAAGGCCTGGAAACCTAGATGGAGGAAAACTGGGGCTCTTGCCCTGTGGCCAGGAGATAGGTGGGATAAAATGTAGGAGTGGAGGAGCAGTCATAACTGAGTCCCCAGCAGCTGACTGCTGTTATATTGTATTAAAAAGCAATAATAATTGCCAAGGTTTTTGGAGCCAGATGGACT